CTCACCTGTGGAATAGTAATCGAGCACGGGGTCTTTGCAGAAGGACTTGAACCTCCAGGTGACCAGGACGTCCTGAGGGTTCGCTGAGGTGGAATAATCGCAGAGGATGATTATGGAGGCAAACAGAGTCGTACTTCTCTCCGTCTCCGGAACAATCACCTGGACGGCCAGCAGCTCTGGTAAAAATAAAAACAAATGTAAATGCACATGTCACGCAATCTTTAAATCAGTGTGTGTGTGTGTGTGTGTGTGTGTGTGTGTGTGTGTGTGTGTGTGTGTGTGTGTGTGTGTGTGTGTGTGTGTGTGTGTGTGTGTTTTGCAGCTTTACTCCAGAATGCTTGATTGAAAAAAATCTGGCCAGACTGGTTATGAGTTTACTACAGAAGTCTTTAAGCGTGAACATATTGTAGAAGTCATAACAGCTGCCAATCACGATGAGCAAGAGAAAACAACACGATGACAGCGACCTCTGCTTATTGAGAAAAGTATCAGTTAAGGTTTAAGGTCAACACTGAAACACTTTCTCTCCAAACAAGGCGTCTAAAACTCTAATGGAGAAGTATGTTTGTCAGAGTCAGTGTTGGTCTCAGTTGTCTAATGTCAAAATAGGCATAAAAGACGCACATGAAAACGTTTTAAATGAATGTCGAGGGTACAACAAAAAAATTGAAAGAAACACTGAGAACGAATTTTAGAAATCATCCAACAGTTATTTAAAAGAGAATTATATACAAATAGGAACTGCAGCTGTCTGAGGTTTATAGAAATGTGCAAAAATATCTACATACATTGCAAAATCTCCAAGATGTGATCCGTATCCGGACTTTGTTGTGATGTTGAATTTAGAGCAAGACGTATAAGTTTGATAGAAAAATCTAAAGTTTTACTAATAAATTACTCAATAAAAATGTCCTAGTTTTCCTCTCAAATGTAAAAGCTTTTATTTATCTTATTTGACAGTTCTTTTATTATTTCTGTTAGAGGTGTAATTTCGAAGACATTTTGAACATGTGATGAAGTCTTTGACTGTATGGACCAAACAACAAATTGATTAATCAACAAAGGATTGAGAAGAGTTACGGCTACCACTATTCGATCAATCAATTATTGTTGTATATTATTTTCAAATAAATCATTTAATGTCCTCTCAATAAAAAAGTGATCAAAGAAAAACTCTTCAATGTTTATTTAGATTATTGCTAGTTCTGCCAAAAGTCATGTACAGTATAAGTATCTGTAACTAACTATCTTAATTATCCATTAATAGTTAAAATCAAACGGGAGAATTTGCTGCTGGTATTTTCCTTGCTAATACACTGAATATCTAAACATTGATTTATTTCAGTCTGGGTTCATGGGAATTATGATAGATCTTTTTTAATGATTTCTGATGGTTTTCCACAATTAATGGAAGAATCCAGAAAATAATCTGCAGATTAACTGATAATGAAATAAACTGTATTTCAATACCTTTTTATATAGAGCAGGAAAAAAAGCGAGAGGCTATAGGAGATAATTATTGAAATGTATGCTTGATTAACGACCTTTAAAGTTGATCCATGTATACAAAATGTGTCACTAACCCCTAATTATTTCAGCTCAACAGCAAATTAAGTTATCATTATTTGAATCTTTATTTGTGTAATAACGTTTTATTAGATGTTATATCAATCTGAGAGGCTGATTCCTTTGTGTGAACCGTTTAAGTTAAAAAAAACGTTTGGACAACATGTTGAAAAAAAACTATTAGTGGTGTGCAGTCACGTGACAGCCGTCGGCCTTGTCCTGTGTACACCTGCCGATAAATAATTAACTTGAACACATCACTGCTAGTTTCGATTGTTTGCTTAGGTGGCTTCCCTCTTAAATAGCTATACACTGGAAGAAAAACAGAGACGTCTTGATGAAGTATAATTGTAAGGCTTTACTGTGTTTACTGAAACGCCTTTAAAGCCTCACCTGTCGGCAGGTGAGCCAGCAGAAGCGCCATCAGTATCATGTTTCCCATCTCGTTCCTGTGTATCCCTCCGCCGAGGCTTCACTCTCTACCCTGTTGTTGGAGACTCAAAATCCGCCAGAAATCATGAGTATTTGGAAGAAAACGTTGTATATCCGCTTCTGTACATAGTCCCTCTTCTTTATCCGGAAGACGCCATGTTGGAGAGGCAGGTTTTGTTTATTCTTTGAGGTAAAAAAAAACAAGTGTTTACAGCCGCCCTGAGGAACAACTTTCCCGCAGAGAGAGAAAGAGAGGCGGATCACCCCCTCCCCCTCCAGGTGACATCATGACCCCGCCCTCTGTGACAGGTGCATCAGGGAGGACATACAGAGGAGCAGGAAGAGCAAACAAAGGTGATGTTTCCCACAACTATCACTTCATGCTTTAACTGTGTTTTGTTGCCACTTTTCTCAATGTATGACCAGGGCCGTCCCTGGCCAACTTGGGGCCCCAAGCGACATTGTGAGATGAGGCCCCCCCCCCCCCCCCCAACTGACAGGAGTGAAAACATTTTTTTTGGAAACGAAGTACTTTGAAAATATAATTCCTGTTTATTATTATTATCAACACAGTTACTTTTTTATACAGTGAGGTAAATGGTAAATGTGCATGAATGTCGTTCAGTATGCGCTTACAGGTGAATACGTCTGCATTTCCTGCCAAATACTAGCCTCAAAAAGATTCAAATATAATTAATGCAAATAAACTAATAATAATAATGATAATCAATTCAATAATATAAATACTATATTATTTTATTATGATATAGTTGTAATATAGTCAAGACAAAACATGCTTATTACATGCTCAAAAACTGAGCCGAGCTCATAAGCCGAGGCCCCTTGCGCGAGGCCCCCTGCGCAATGTGAGGCCCCATGCAGCCTGCATGATTGGCCTGTAGGGAGGGACGGCCCTGTGTATGACTATACATTACATTTAGTTGACATTTTTATCCAAATGGTGCAATCAACCATGAAGATACAAATTCCAAACTGCAAGAATCCTGCATGCACATTAGCTTTCAATAAGCCAAACATTTTCAAGTGCTAAATTCAGAAATAAGAAGGGGTTTGTTTTTCGTGTTTTCATTTTATTTTACAGGCCCAAGTGCAGTCTCAGTACTGAACAGTAAACTAGACCTAGTTCTTAATGATTGTGCCCTTCTTTTTTTGTACATTGACATTCTTTTACCTTCTCCTCCGTGCTGTTGAAGAAAGAGATATGTCATATTTTCTAATCCTTCCAATAAAATATTATTGACACATTTTTAATAACACTGAAAAAACTAAGGGATGGTTTAGTTTGAAGTGTTTTTTTGCGGTATTTGTCCATTATACTTGTATAATCTACGGTAGTTGGCAGTAAGCATGCTCAAAGTTTGTAAAAACAGATTACAAATGAGACATTTTAGGCCGCATTTTATATTTTTCTCCTCATCAAACAATCGTTTTCTATTAGTCAGTCTATTCTTTCATAGATTTTTAAGTATGGCAAAGATAAAGAAAGGTAACAATGAAGAAACAGAAGGCCTGATTAGTTCTCTGCTGGGTTTACTGCCCCTGATAAGTGTATTTGAAAGCATTTCACATGGTAGATGAATGGAGTCTTTATTTAAATGTTAACATCAGACCATCATCTTAAACCTTCTCCCCTTATTGGTGTGAAAAAACAACTCTAGTTGAATTAATTTTAGTTAAACCTGCATGATCTGAATATTCTGAATGAAACAAGCTCTTATTAGTTTGTAGAAACATCCCGAGTGTAGAGTCCACTCTCGGGATGAGTGTTGTGAGTTCTTTGTGTGTAGATGTTTACGTCTCTTATCCAGGAAGTAGACCCCAGCGAGCGTTAGTGTTGACACAAAACAACTCCGCCTGAGCTGAACTCAAGAGCTCTCAGCTTACTGGAGTGTGTTGGTAATCCTGAGAAAAATGCTGTGTGGATGAAAAGCTTTGCCCTCTCATCAGCGTCTGGCTCCGCTCTGAACTATACAGACATGCCAGGTTTAAATTCCTTCCTTTTTAGTATCTGGGGAGGACGTCCAGTTCCCTTCATCTTCTGCTTCTTTGTCTTCAGGGGACAAAACATTTAGGCTGTGATCTGCCGGCAGTGTTTTAAAGGTTATAAAGTGTTCTTCTGTTTTGTTTGACTGCTAATATTTCTAACTGGATATTCAAACAAAGGATATTAAATACACACAAAACGGCTACAAAAGGTCACAAAACTCCTAAATATATTCAAAATGACTACACAAAGATGCAAAATGACTACAAATAGAACCAAAACAACTGTAATACAAATTACCACAAAGAGACGCACAATTACTAGTGATTGATTAAAAATTACGAACGAAGACGAAAAGATCAAATATATATGCTAAACGACCACAAATAAGAACCAAATAAATACAAATAGACAGAAAACTTCTAACAAGAGTCAAAAAGATCAGTCACAAACGACCATGAAGAGTCACAAAACTACCACAGAGAACTACAAAACAGTAACAAAGAGTTTCAATAAGACCCTAAAGATTCTTAAAATGATCATACAGACACAAAACGAAAGAATTTAGCATAAGAAAAGTCACAAAACTATCAAAACGACGACCAATAGACCTTACGGATAGAATCAATTACCACAAAGAGACAAAATGCTGAAACATATCAAATTAATACTTTATACAAACACATTAAAGCTGCACGCATGCTCTACACACGATAAGGTGTGCAGATTGTGTGTAGTTCTGTATTTGGATGTTGTCAGTAAATCTATAGTGTTTATTTAGTTGTGGATATTTGATAAGCTGCGATAAAAAAGGGCTTTATCCAAGATACTGTACACACACTTTATCACACACATGGACAAACATAATAAGCACACACTCAGATTCAGACACCGAGGATATATATTTCATATTTCTATATAAATATAAATGATTTGTCTCTTGATCAAGATAATAAACGTTCATAAGCGTAAAACATTCACAGACAGCGGAGACTTATTTTTAAAGTTTTTTTTATTAAAAAGTATTTATGCAGTGCAATTAATCTGCAGGACAAATTCAAGGTACAGCACTTACATACAGTACAAGATCAACAACAGACAAACACACACATACAACGTGAACCTGAGTCACAGTGTACTGAAGAGTGTGAAGTCTGCATGAAAATATAAGACTGTGGCTTCCTGCAGATCAAAACTTGGCAGATAAAAACAATAATAATAAAACAAACATCTTGGCACATGGTTTCAGAATACATCCAATCACTCCGCAAATATAACTGATACACACACCACATACATATCATCTGTATTCTACACATGCAGAAATACTCAGATATAATTCATGACAAGTAAACAACGTCCTGGTTTGTACACATTTCTCAGCGTCCACTACTGCTGATTTTCAGTGCAGTTATCGTCAATGAGAGGAGGCCGACTTCATGCGGCTGATGGCAGAGCAGCAACAGGACGGTTTAATGAACGGACAGGTGCATGCTGGGAAACCTCGTCACACTATCAGAGTGTCCCTGCTCAGTGCAGTGCTCTGTTAAAGAAATACACCGAGAGCCAAACGTTAGACACTTTGAATTCATGCATTTGTAACAATGTGAGTTATTTGGTTAATGGTGATTTTTATAGCGTTAGTGGTGGCAGAGATTGAAAAAGCGCTTTACAGTCAAGTCCATTTACCGTGCGAGGTTAGTGAAGCCTGTAGATATCCTGCAGCTCAAGCCATGTTAGTAGTAAAGCCTGTTATACAGATGTTTTCTAATACTACAAAGAAAGTTAGTAGGGATGTGTAACACTGGGATGGTTGCAAGCGTGACCAGATTATACTGTACATGTCTGAGTTAAATAATATTTGCATTGCTTTTGTAAATGTATGCAAAAAATGTAACAGCTACTGGAGATACAATAACATCGAAGCTAAGATTATAAGGAATCAGTGTTAAGACCAAACATCTTGTATGTACATTGAACAAGAGACAATCAGAATATGTACATAATACTGTAAAAAACAAACAAACAAACAAGCTGGCGTTGTTCTATTGTATTCTTATTGTCAACAAATCCCATTAGAGACTATAACTGATAATGTCTCTTAATACTTTAATACTAGTTTTTAAAACTCTCTTGTTATGAAACAGTGTCAAAATATTACCTTATTAAGTTTGTTGTTTTTTTCAAACATTTTTGATGTGCTTTTTCCTTTCCAGCTGATGACAATGCCATAGTCCTAATCCCTTAAATCATAATTCTATATCGGGATTTATTAAATAACAAGAAAGCCTTTCTTACCTCATTAAATACACGCACTGTCACTCCTATCATAACTCAACAGGAGTACATCATGCATTTGTTTGGTACTGTTTTCATCTGTGGATTCAAACCATTTGGGGGCTGTAAATTAGTCACTTTCCCCCGGTTACCTTGAATTCTTAATAATAAATTGTTTAAATATGTTTTTTAAAAGAGAACATTCTCTATAAATTGAAGCAAGACAATTTTAACTACAGCAATACTAAATCAAAACTAAATCACTGCTTCACAAACAGATACATTTTCGATTAAACCACACTATTAGATAGGGTGCACTATTATATGTTATTGCTCGTCCTATGTAAAAACATCTTGAAAGATGCATGTCTTTGGAGAGTTATTTACTTCAATTCATCAATACTTTCCTCCTTTTTGCACATTTATTGTCAGAATTGGTGAGAAAAAACTAAGTATTCTTAAAAAATTCAAGGTAAAACAGGGTTGACATACAGTACTAATGATCATTGAGGGTTTGACATATTCCTTTTAATTCACTATTTGTATTTGGACTCTCATGGGATGTGCTGACAATAAGAACAATATAGAATGTGCAGAATTATCCAGTAGTTATTGACAGGGTTTAGAGGCTCTTTCCTGAAGGGCTGCAGAGGAAGGAAGTCCTTGTTCCTGCTACAAGTAACTCACCAGGTTTCGGCTCCTCTCCCTCTCCTCTCTCTGTGTTTGGGACGTATCCTGTGGGGGGCGGGTGTAACAGAAAGGCCTCATGTTAGGTTCACTGGGTTTGTATCTCTCTGCTCTGGGAGGCTCTACAGTGCGGTACCGGTCCGCGTTTGGGTCGGCCCGGCGGTACCGCTCGGCCTCGCGCTCAGAGTACGGAGGAAGAGTGTCCTCCTCTTCTGGACGGTTGCTGGGGGACCGGCTGTAGAAGCTCCCTTTCCCTCTGGAGCTGCCTTTAGAGGGAGTGTCACTGTCCTCGTCCGCCCTGTAAGCCCCTCTGTCCCCTCTGTCCCCTCCCCTCCCTCTCGCCTTGCTGTCCAACACACTGCTGAGTAAGGTGTCGTCGTATCCTTTGTTTTTTGGCGGTGGACACGGCCGATCGCTGTCCCAAGTGTCCCGTCTCTTCTGAGATAAAGGCGAGGGGCTCCGGCGGCCCCAGCCCTCGTCTTCCTCTCTGTAGAAGCGCCTCGGGGGGCTGTAGTCGTGCTCGTAGCCCCGTTCTGGACGAGAGCGGGGGTTGTAAGACTGGGCGAAGTCCTCCAGCTCGTCCAGAGAGCCGGTCCGTCCTCTTCTGCTCAACGTCTTCCTCTGCAGGTGCTCTGATGGCGGGTTCCACCTGCACACAGGGACACAGAGTTTAAAACATAATAATAGTACTTTTTTATTATTTTATTTAGTTTTCAACATACTCAAGACACTTAAAATGACATCTACGGTCAGTATAAAACTACCTTGAACACAAAAAAGCCCAAAATAGAGTAAAATCTGAAATGAATAGAGGCTTTAATAGACAGTCACACTATTTGGTGCTTTTCCCCTCTTAGCACATTCAGAAAAATACAAAAGATGTATTTAATATTATATTGTATATAATAATAATAAATGAATGCTCAATTGTCACCATAAATAAATAAATATACCACTAATTAAATTATACATACAATTAAATACTATTCAAAATATTCAAATACTATTTTATTGGGGCTTTACCCTTTAAACACATTCAGAAAATCACAAACTATATAATGTATAATAATAATAACACATGTAGGAGCCATGAAACGTGTATACTGTAGTAATGCGTTTTGTTTTAATATAAGATATTTGTTTGATCACAATTGATTGGTTGGCTTGGGTCACATGGATATGGGCGGCACACATTATAATCCTGTTCACCTGCGTGAGGTGTGTGTGTGTGGAAGAGAGGGTGACACAGGGTCGTTGTACTTTTTGTTGACCGCAAGTTTAATGATTGCTTTCATTATTATAACAATGTCTATGTGCAAGGAAAATAAGTTGATCATCCCAGTTTTCATTAAACTACATTATCTTTTGATCTCAGCAAGTACTTTTTTGTAGCGTGTCACACAATAGCAAACAGGCCTGGCCTCAGCCTCTCAGCGACTTTGTTTGTTTCCTGCTGTCGCTATAACACATTTGTATATATATTTTAACAAGTGTTATTATTTAAATAAACCTGCTGCTACATCCATTAACTTTATAAATCAAAAGTCAGAAGGGTTATAGGAAATAAAGGTGTGCAAAAGTCAATAAGTTAATTTACAAATTGGTAAACAAACATATATTTAGACAAATATATCAAAGTTAAACATTAATATACTTAATGTTTCATTTATTTTGTGATTTTTAAACGTATTTATAGTGACAATTTCACATTAATTTACATTTTTTTTATTTAGTTTTGACCCTTAAAAAACCTCCTTGATAAACACACGCACAGACTAAGGAAAACTCCTTAATCCTACCTTCTGTCGAGCTCGTCGTCTGAGAGGTTGCGTCGGTCGCGTCTCATCCTACGGTTGTGTGTGTGTGTGTGTGCAGGCGCTCTCAGCGATTGGCCGTCCAGGTCAGCGATGGGCGGCAGCGCCTTCATCTGCACCGTCTGGTAGGTGTGTCTGAAGTCTGACGTGCCTCCGTCGTGAAGAGAACTCAGCTCCGAGAGGCTGCTGGCTGCAGGGAGAGACCCGTCAGTAGAGCTTAAATAATATGCCTCACCTTTCACATATCAGCTAGAGGTTATAATCATGAGCACTGATTACAGCTGACTGCAAATTACTGAGGAAGTACCACCCTAAAACTAGTGTCACAAACAATTTAGAGGATAAGTCAAGTAATAATCATTTTTTTAACTACTCTATTTTCAGCAATAGAGCCAACAACAAATAACACGAGGGAACCAAAATAAAATAGCTAATTGTAATAGTGTTATTGGCCTCAATTGATATCCAATTGAAAACATATCATCAATTCATATTTCTCCTATGCAATTAACATGGAAAGCGCTTGCACTAAAAAAAGTCTGCAATACATTTATTTTATACTGCTTTTACTAACTTTTACTAAAAATGTAACTTGAAACATTGACTCTTCCCAATCTAATATGTTGAATGTAAAATAACCACCCGTTTTCGTCAATTAATTTGGCACAAAACGGAAAAAAATTGCAATGTAAAATAACAAAAATATTGTACCGATCCTGTATTGCTGATAATCACAGGGACTTTACAAATGTAGAGGCTAAGGCTAAGCTAACGCTTTATGCCACTGAGGTGCCGCTTTGTTTACATAATAGACGCACACTTTAGCTTATAAACAGTCTGATACAAATTGTTTCCAAATTATTGAACACTTAGTCCATTTCTTTTCAGTTCGTGTTTTCCATTAAACTTGCATCGTATTTCCAATATCATACAAAAATGACCCTTGACTCAGTAAGGGTAGTTAGATGTTATGAAATGAATGTAATTATTAGATGAAAACTAGCACTGGTTATTTCACACATATCATGCACATAAAACACAAACACATGAACACGTGTCACACAGCCACACAGAGGACACACACTGGTCTAATCTGTGCAGCCTTACGTTTGTGTGCAGCCATCTTTGCAGAGGGAAACTGACCCAGCTCCTTCTCTACGTAGTACAAAACTTTCATTGAGTCCTGGTGTGGACTGGCTTTCAGTCGATAACCACTGCGCGCTGCGGATGGGGCGCACACACACACACACACACACACACACACACACACACACACACACACACACACACACACACACACACACACACACACACACACACACACACACACACACACACACACACACACACACACACACACACACACACACACACACACACACACACACACGCACACACATGCAAACACAAGGACATAACCATGCAGGGACAGACACATTTCCACATAAGTGTCCAAAACACAAACCAGACATGAATATATTAAAGGGACGGTTCATCCTAGAATCAAATCATGACCTGGCTTCTCAAGATTATCCACACTTCTTGTTGTGATCATTTTCATGTAGGAACTTTTTTCTTTCAACAGAACAACATCTGCTAATGAATTGAATGAGTATTTGCCCATTTTCTATTGCACGTTGATACGGTTGGTGCGTGTAGTGTGGTAACAAGAAAATAGTTCCTACATGAAACGACTTACAGCAAGGTCTGTTGATTATATTTAGTAACCAGGTTTTCAATTTTGTGGTGAACTGTCCCTACAAACAATTATTTAAACAACAAACATGCAGACATTTCTGTAACACGTACATCTAGTATGGAGGTTAGAGACAGACTCGAGGATGAATGATGACGAAATGAAGGTTAGTGAAGTCAGTGTAACAGTAATACATTGAGACAGAGCTTCCTAGTATCTCTGCTTGGTCAAAAACACTCACCTCCAGCCAGGTTATTCTCCACTGAGGGGATGGAGGCCATCTGTGGCTCCACATGGGATGGAGGGGCAAGAGGAACCACAGTAGGAACACCAGGGATGTAGTAAGGATACACAGGAACCTGAGGAGGAGGAGGTCCACTCTTTGCCATCTTCCCTGCTTCATATACTGCAGAGGAGGACAACAAAACAATACAACTCATGCATTAGGATTCTTTACTGCTCCAAAGTTCAAACTAGTGCAGGAAGAAGGTGCTCTTTTTAGTAGGGAACACAATGTTTACAAAAAAGGAGAAAGACATAAAGTTAAAAAGAAACTTGATTAGAGGGATTTTTCATTTCTTAACATACTAGAACATGTTAAAATAGATCTGGATTACCAACCAAGTAGGAATGCTACAAACATAATTATAAAGACTGATTGTTTTTAGTATCAGCAACAAGGATCGTTTTAGTTTGGGTTTGTCAGAAGGATTATAGAAAAAAATGTTGCCTGATTGGGCGGCTTTGTCTCAGGAGGTTAAAGGTGGGGTAGGTAAGTTTGAGAAACCGGCTCGAGTGCGCTAGAATTTGAAAATACACAGCCGGAACAAATCTGCCACTTCCTTACAGAGCCCCTCCTCCAACACACACGAATGCGCACATGACCAATGAGGGCACGAGATAAGTTTGTGCACAGATGGAAGGCTGACAGGCAGGTAGGCCATCCAGTTATTTTAGCCGGGCCGGCTAAAATGATTGGTCGTGCTTTTTACAGTACCACGGCTTCCACAGATGACATTTATTTATGGATTTTTTTTTCTTAAGATATTCATTGCTATCGGGATGTTAAGAGCATTCCATGGAATATAACAAAAAGTGTATCTCGAGCCGGTTTCTCAAACGTACCTACCCCACCTTTAAATGGTGGTGCACCTTTCTGAGGAATGGTGGTTCAATCCAGCAACTTGTCCCTAAATTCAATGGCTAAAGTTGTGTGAGTGCCTGTGGATGTTGAGCTCTTTAGATGAGCAGGTAGCACGTATTGTAGCCTTTGTGTGAATGTGTGTGAAGGGGTCTTGTGTCTTAAAGGGGTTGTAAAGACAAGAAAAGCACTAAACTAAAACAACTAAACATGGGTATAACATGGGCCAAGGAAAACGCCAAAACATTTTTAAACTGATTGTAATCATGGACCAGATACACTCGTCTTTTTTCATTTTTGTTGAAAGTGCATGCATGGCCCGTGGTGGAGCTGTATGCCCTTTGTGTACCCTTTAAGATTGCTGGTGTAATAGTTTGTGTTACTCACGGTGTCGTGGACAGCAGCAGGTTTCAGGGCAGCAGCAGCAGCTGACGTAGCAGCAGCAGGAGTGAGGACAACACTGGCACCAGCAGATCCCCATCAACAAGAGGAACAAGACACTGCCCAGGACTACAGATCCCACAAACACCCACTCTGGAAAACAGACACACAAAGGTATTACTTCTTCTTCATTTGTATAAGGGTTGGGAGGATTCTGACTTCATAATTGCAATGATAAGTTACGAAAATGTGATATTTTGGTCCTTCGTTCGTTCACTTCTGCTTGTAATGGTAGGAAAAATGTTTAAAGCTACAAGGAACAGCAACAAGTCTTGATGAAGACCTTGTTAATGTTTCTCTCTCCTCTTTAATGAAACCACAGAGAAAGAAAGGGGGAGGAAACTAAAAAAGGAAACTATAGGAGAACTGGAGGGAGCTTTGCATTTCTCTTATCCATCATCACATCTTGAAAGCATCCCGACCCTAACAACACATTTCCTCAGGGTGTGCCCAAAAGCAAAATCCACTCAAAACCCCTCGCTAAGTCAACACATATTCCCTGTGGAGTTTAAACTATGACCAGAGGAAACAGATAACAGCTGTGAGTCTGTGAATATTTCTTATTGTAGCTTCAATGACTAATCGTGGGAAATGTCAGGTTAGAGGCTTCTTTCTGTGCATTTTCCAACAAGTGCTCATACTTAAAATGTGTTGGTGGAAAAGAGTTCTGATTGTTGAGTGAGAAATAAACATGAGGAAGCTTTAGAGAAGCTAGAAGAGGCCATGCAGAGAGACAAAAGTGCAGGTGAGGTGCCGTACCTGGCATAATCTCCACATCAAACTCAGGTAGGATATCGTCCTTCTGACCTGTCCTGCCTGCAGAGAGAGGGAGAGCACAGGTGAAGGCCGGCAGAGGAAGCAGAAAGCAGTGAGAATCAAAAGGTCAGCAGGGCGGAAGACTAACGGTCACGCACTGATAAGGAAACTGTAGGGAGAAACTTTTTTAATCAAGTTTTTTATCTGACATGTTGCTATGACGATGAATAACGGCACGCTTAATTAGCAACTGGAGAGATGGTAATGTTGGTTGTCAATCATGTGAATATATCAACAACTATTCAGATGGACTATCATTCATTTGCAGATATTTAAGGTCCCCAGAGGAGAGAAGCTTCTTAATTTGGTGAATGATATTGATACAGAGGACCTAGTGTGGCTTTAGACTTTTAGTCTTGTTATCACATGAATGGGCAGAGTTCATGCTAACAAAATGTGATGCCAAAGAATGACTTAGTATGTCTATAAAAACATGAAACTATAAAAATAAATCATGTAAGTCAGAGGTCAAAACGCACTTTACTTTGTATCTAACTTTAGCAATAGGCCAGCAGTGCTATCATTTCTATATTGATGTGCACACCACACATGAGCCTCTTTTGTGGCGTTAAAACAGCACACAGAGTAATCTATACACATGCAATATGCATCCATATGTGCCATTAGAGGCGGTGTGTGAGGATAAATTGGGTTTATTTGTAAACTGGGGCACATAACGATTCTGGGACAACAAATTGGCGGTTTGTGCTTCATATAGAAAACAGGTCAAAAGAGGCAGTTTGAAATAGGGCTGCTCAATTAATCTTATTTTAATCGCAATTACGATTTTGGCTTGCAACAATTATGAAAACAACATAATCGAAATAAAACAATTTTTTTTTTTTGGGTTTTCAGTTGAATTATACTTAAAGTTCAGGGTAATCAACTGTTAAAAACATACTGTTCAATAAATGGATGTTTTCAAAGTCAATGGATAATCGTTTTTAATAATCGTGATATCAATTATTGACCCAAATAATCGAGATTATGATTTTTGCCATAATTGAGCAGCCCTAGTTTGAAATACTGTAAAATATAGAAAAGTAAAGGGACAGTATAGAGTGCAGAGGCTGCAACACAACTGCAGGTGTTCATGTTTTCTAATGTGTGTTTATGCCGAGGTGACAAAAGACTATAATTACATTAAAGACCAGTTACTGTCTGAGGAGGGATAGACTTAAGCTAAACACTGGCTGCAGAAAGTGCTGAGTAGACTGTTACCATGGAGGGGGAAAGCAGTGTACCCTCCCAACCTGATAAAAAGTAATCTGGGTTCCCTGCTGGCTGGCACACTGATCTACATACCATGAAGCTCAGTATCACTGAGTAACCTGAGAGAGCCGAGGAGCTATGCAGCCCAAAGGGAGGCAATGAAAGATGCAGGAATGAGTCACGGAGGAGCAAGATTTTGCAAGAATAAAAAGGGAGAGCCAAGAGAGTGAAAAATAAAAAATAAACTGGAGAAGAGAGAGATGGTGGGAGAATAAACATGTATTCTTGTTGCTTAATATTATATTTTGGGAAATATATTTGGATTTCTTGCTGAAAGTAAGGTGAAAAGATTGACACCACGACTGCCTGTACGGTAAATATGGAGCTGTTAGCTTAGCCTAGCATAAAGAATGTAAGCAGGGAGTAACTACTAGCCAACATGTCTTTTTTTTTCATCCATAAAAATCACACTTTAAAATCAACGATTCTAACAAAACAAGATAAAGTAGGCAAATCGTTAAGCTGGTATTTTGTTACGTTCAAATGTAACCAAGCTAGGTGTTTCCAAGGCATATATAGGTTATCTCTTTATATAAACTAACATTGTAAGTGATTATTTGTAAGGGCAATTGTTTTGGCTCAAAAGTAGGAAGAGAGATTTGTTTAAATGCAGTTTGAATGTTAAAAATACACTCAGCCAATGTGGAGATATCAACGTCAAAGGTCATGAAAACTAACTTGCAAATGTGAGGGCGTATCGACAAACACAACACCAGTTTGCTATCAAATGTGGCTGGTTTCAACATTTTGATCAATAGAAACATACATTTAACATTTGATGTAAGGGAAAAACATTGCTGAGAAGTAAGAACATGTGTGGAAAACTTTCCTTAATGTGTTTTATCAAGAGGATATTGAGCTGGGAAGAATATGCTCCTATTCCAGTCTTTATTGCTAAACTAAGCTAGGCTAAACTAAGCTAAGCTAACCACCTGCTGTGAGTATTGACAATGAACAATAATAGTTGTAATTGAAGCTATGAGAGTGGTATCAATCTTCTTATCTAACTGTTGGCAACAAAGCAAAACATTAATATTTCACAAAATGTCAAACTAATTATTTTAATTTTGATGCATTAAACTTGATCTCAAAACGGATTAAATGTGAAATAATAGGTTTTAACACACTTTTATCAATCCAGCTACCCCATTGCCACATGGTGAAGCTAAAAAGAAAGCTCAGTGTAGTCTTGTTATTCTCACACATTTAAACCCCCCCTCTTCTCTCCTGTGAGCTGATTATAATCAGATTAGCGCTCAACGGAGGAGCATTTTATGAATGAGCAGATGCTAATGCTACATGCAACACCAGAGTATAAGCAGGGTTGCCAACTTTGGGTACCTGGCTGGAGTGAGATTTTGATATCATGGTTTTAATTCGGTTTAATTACACATATGCGCACGAAATGACTGCTATCGTGTCAGCAGCGGGAGCTTAGCATATATATAGGATATATATACAAATACACAATATTGGACACAGACTATAAAGGGCACACAGTTTCATTCACTAATGAAAGTCAAACATGTTTGTTTCCATTGTTTTATTGTGTGCCTGTCGCGATAAGCAATTAATTGACTTATCGTACGATAAATAAAAATGAACTCGATAACTTTTCTGACCTCGATAAATTGCGATTTACATGAGGATGTGACTAGCAGTTTGAAAGGATGTACTTGAATTATTATTATATATTATCATTATGTCAGTGGTCTAAAATGGTCATACAACGGTGCCGACAATATTATCGTTTATCGCAATAATTTCCGGGAAAATGTATCCAACAAAATTAATTATCGTGAGAGGCCTATACATGAAACACACACACACAAACAAATCTACAGACTTACTCCAAACTGCCAAATATATTAACACACTCTCACTCTCATATACTCTTTGACTCTATTTTGGCTATAGTAGAATAATAAGCAGCAGACTTTTACTTTTTTATCATTTCTACTGGATCTTAGATCTGCGCATGCGCTCCAGAGTATTTTTGTTGGGTAATCTATGGTAGGGCTAACCCATACAGTGTTGGGGCTCAAGTCAGTATTTGCAATGTAATTACATACACGCTCCCCCCCGACAGTGAAACGCCACGCGTGAGGTTTAGATTATTTCCCTGTCTCAATCCAAATTGAACTGTATGAAATAAAAAGGCACATTTGTCTTGTAGTAAATAAAAAGGGCGACCTGGAGCCAATCCTGCAATTTCCCCACAGGTGAAAGAGTTGACATGCTGAAAACCCAACCCCTGCAGGGGGCTCTGGGGGGATTCTCCCCCAGGAGATTCTTTTAAATACTAACATAAAATACACATTTTGGTACTCTCTTGAGAAGAAAAATAAATAAATCTATTACTACACATTTAAAAAAATGAATGCCATATTAGTTTTTTGTTACTTTGTTCTGAAAGCTGAACCTGCTGCTCCTCACAGAGAGAAGAGGGAAGAGGCTGTGTGAATTACTTTACATTGTGGATAAGGGTGGATAGCCCCCATTGTTCTGTGTGTCAAAATGAAAGACAGCCCACACACCTATCAATCATCAAACCGTGGGGTCTTATTTCATTACGTGTTGATTTCTATCAACACGTAATGTTCTGTCGATGTATAGAGATGTACTACCGCAAAAGTATTCTCCGTCGGGACTTCCTGCAACAACACCACGCCGTTATCGTGATTCTGATTGGCCAGAAGACATTATCAAAGATGTTCTATTGAGAAGACGATCACTACGTGACAAAAGTTTTCAAAACCGTTTCTAGTCTTCGTATTCTTGTTTTTGGCGTGAGAATAGTTTGGGCAGCGTGAGAGCGTGAGGTTGAGAATGAAAGCGTGTGTCACACGCCAGATGCGTGAGAGTTGGCAACCCTGGTATAAGACAATGTTATGAAGAGAGAAAACTATTTTTGAACAATTGTTTTGAGGGTTTAAAGATAATTTATTGTAATTAGTTAATATTTTTCCTACGTCTCCCTCTTCATGTCTACATCAGCAGCACTCAGCAGTCTCCTCTGTAAAAAAGCACGTTGCCACGGTAACGGCTTAAGGAGTGGCTTTGACAACAATGGTGTCCACAGTTTCTTTGACTGAGAGGACATTAGAGTCTCATTCAAGGAAGACGGAGAATCTCTGACCCTTTGGCAGTAAAACACTTGCTGCTTCATTGATCATTAATTGGCAACAAATTCAAAATTACAGTATGACAGAAAAACCGTTGGACAAGTACTTTTGAAACTTAAGGATATAAACCCAAAATGAGTTCCTGATAAATGTACTTTTAGGAAAAACAAATTAATTAATGTAAACAATTTTCTTTTGCTACTGAATTTACTTTTTAGATTCTATTGCTTATGTTAAAATACATAATTCTTTAATATTATTTTAATAGAAATATGTCAATTTTTTGGAATAAATGTTTTTACATTTACTAATGTAACATATTGATGTGCAATTCTCAAGTAGTTTAATTTAATATTTTCAATTTAAGGTTATCAGGGAATGTATGAAACTACTTTATGCTTCTTCTGCTACATTTTAGTCAAATATTATACTTTACCAACTATTATTTGAAAATGTATAAACAAGTAAATGATGGTTTATTAATATATGTAAAGCTACCCAGCAGTATCATATGATTTTATACGATTTTGTTAGTAATTAATGTTAGCTTTTTACTTCTGACAATTGTATTCATGTTTTAAAAATTACAAAAGTTGTCTCCATTTGTAAAGAAGATAATCTTGCCAAACAAAACATTTTAAGTATCATAAACTTCAGACTGCAACAGAGCTTATTTTTCTGCAAAAGTCCACGAGAAAAATCTATAACTTTTTGGGTTGTCCTACAGAAACAAGCACCAGTGCAGTAGCACCCTGTTGCTACTTTGACACAAGTTAAAGTCCTCTCCTACCACTGTAGTGCTAAATCAAGTAACGAGCCAAACACCATGTGGCCGTCTCCATGGAAACTGTTGTAAAGAAAATTCTGAATGCAGGGCAACAAAGAGATCTCTAAAAACTCACATAGAGAAAGAAACTCCACTGAGCTTAGAATGAAAACATTAGATCATTTGAAAGAAAACTCTTCCCAAGTCGATCATAATCAGGCATCAGGAGTTGACTGTACTTTGATTACAAATGAAGTGCAGGCATACCAAGCACCAGTAACTCCAGCTGGGCCTCATTCTTCCCCTCCAGATCATCAGCAATGACGACTTTACAGTAGTAAACTCCACTGTCGCCCCACTGCAGCTCCCCGATACGCAGGTCTGCTTCTGCACGGAGACAAGAGTAAGGTTATATGTGATGTAATAAGTAAAAGGTGAGAGCATTTTCACAAAGCAAGTCAAACAAAATGACAATTATCACTTTGTTAAACAGTTGCAGGGACAGCACACATTGATGACTGTGTTATACAATACAAATACATGTGAAAAACAAAAACAAATGCCATTTAGTGACTATATATTATTATTATCAGCATGCCACTGAACATTTATTTAATTACTTTGTTAAATGACAACAGGAGGGTTTCATAAACATGTGGTATGTCCCATTGACACATTTGGATAGGAGACGGGTGTTTTGTCTTGATAAGGCTTGAGGTTTTTCAAGGAGTCATACATGAATAGGAGGTTATGATCGTGTGTGTGTGTGTGTGTGTGTGTGTGTGTGTGTGTGTGTGTGTGTGTGTGTGTGTGTGTGTGTGTGTGTGTGTGTGTGTGTGTGTGTGTGTGTGTGGTGTGTGTGTGTGTGTGTGTGTGTGTGTGTGTGTGTGTGTGTGTGTGTGTGTGTGTGTGTGTGTGTGTGTGTGTGTGTGTGCTACTCTTTTGTGAAACAAAGACAAAGGAGGTTTATTTAGAGAACAGGAAACACACAAAGCACAGTCAGCTCTGACTCCTGAGTGCAGGAATCAAACAGCTGCAGCAACTCTTTCTCCTTAAATCTGGGGTAGTAAGCTTTTGTGTTGGGCGTGTCTTTAGACAAACATTCTCTAATAACATTTCAGCACATTGTAATTAAACTACTGTACCTAGGTTCAAGGTTCAAGGTTCTTTATTAGTCATACAACCATAGCTACAGATTAGTTATGTAGATGCAATTCTTAAGTCACAGGCTTCTCCAACAGTGCAACACAGTATTACAGAAAGACAGAAAAATATAGTGCAAGTAAATATTAAAAGTAACTGCAAAAAGAAAGGAATAGTTTAAAAAAATGTGAAATAAGAGTCTATATGCAAGCTATTTGAATGATATATTAGGTAAATAGATAAATGATTACTAAGTAGCAGAATGTTATGAATGTTGTTACAGCAGTTCAGGTGTTTAACAGTCTACTCCAATCTACTCTTGGTTTGTTTTTAGGTTTTAGAAAATCTAACTCTTGATGGGAAACGTTGTCTAAGCACCAGGCGTTTCAGAGAGAGGATGTTCCTATTGGCTGTTCAACAAAAACAGATGGATTTGCACGTCCCTTCAGATAAGGAAAGCTTGGTACAATGTAGAATATCCTGCAGCAAAAGTTGCTTTCCCAGCATTGGGAACAAGAGACTACACTGCAAAGCAACCCTAAAAAGAAAAAGTGTTTCAGAGACAGAGAAAATATTTCTCATACGGAAGATTAGCTTCTAATGTAGGCAAACTCTCTGCTGCTATGTAGCTAGCTAGAGCCTTAAATCACAGTATCAGAAATCAGGGCTTTGAAGACTTTCATGTTGACAGGCAGTAATTCTCATAGATGTACCAAAGCTGAATCCTTGCTACCGACAGGTTTAAATCCAACTTACTGCCCTTTGCTTCATGTTGCACCCTCCCTCAACTCCTCTCCAATCTATCTGAAGAAAAGGCCCAAAAAATATTTTAATAGAAAAAAGAATTGGCACTATGTTTTGAATCTGGATCACAACCCCCAAAATGAATAACCTACTACTCGTTATGGCTTTATACAGAAAACTGGCCTATCTTCAGAGCTGGGAAGTAGTGGAGTACAAACACTTTGTTACTGTACTTAAGTATATTTTTCTGGTATCAGTACTTTACTCCACTACTTATTTTTCTGACGACTTTTTACTTTTACTTCTTACATTTTAAACACAAATACCTGTACTTTCTACTTCTTACATTTTGAACACAAATACCTGTACTTTCTACTTCTTACATTTCCAAACAGGCTGGTTACTTTAGTTTGAATGTGTGTTTGGTGGCGTGGTCATTATTATTTAGAGTCATTGCGTGCCTATTGATTTGAACAGGATCTGTGTATCCATCATTTCCTGGTCTTCTCTAAAGAAGAGCGACCAATGAAAACGTTGTCATTTTCCCGTTGTTCAGCATGGAAACATTCATTAGCTAACAATGACATTATTGTTCTATTAATATAAAGGGAGGTCAGGTACTCTTTAAAACAGCTGGTAGTTATGGGTACTTTTTACTTAGGTACATTTCAAAGCCCATACTTCCTTACTTTTACTTGAGTGAAGAAGTTTAGTCAGTACTTCTATTTTTACCAGATATTTTTAAACACGAGTATCTGTACTTCTACTTGAGTAAAGGATGTGTGTACTTATGCCATCTCTGCCTATCTTTAATTAACAACTTTAGGATACAAATGAAGACATTACTGTTAACGATGGCGATGTCTCTGCCCTTGTAGTGCTCAGCCAGCGTCATGGAGGCCCCCTGCGCCGAGGCCACGACCCGGACTGTGCGCCCGCTGTCGGAGCACTCGAGGTGGGACGAGGGGCCGAGCTCGGAGCCCTGGACGCCCAGCTTCTCCGGCAGGGTGAAGGAATCTCGGGTTCGGTCTCTGCAGTACGACTTGTACCACCACTGCACCACGGGGTGCTGGTTGGAGGCCGTCTGGTACTGACAGGGGAGGACCACGGACTGGAAGAGCATCGCGAAACGCTGCTTCTCCCGAACTGTGACATGCACACCATCGCACACACACACTAAGAGAGGAAAGAGAAAGAAAATGGGAATTAGTTGAGATGTTGTTAAAGTAATTTACGCAAATACTATGAAGAGCTTTGTAGAGCTGACTCCCATTATGCAAATGTTGCTCAAAGATAAAAATGTTGGCGGCAAAGTAACAACACAGCAGAGTATCAGCATTGAGAAATACCAGGTTTGCACAGACATCAACACACGGCACCTTCAACGAGTTTATTCATACAGTTATCTCTCCCAGTATGACAATTCAAAGAGAGACACAAATAACAGCCCCAAACCCAAAATATATAGAGTATAGAATGATACAAAACAGAGGAAACAAGCCCATCCTCAGATTTGAGGCAGACATTTAAGTTCTTGTCAATTCAAACATGACTGAGTTTATAAGTTAAATGTACCTAAACTAATGCAGCAGCCTATAATACAGTAGCCCTGCAATAAATCATGATGTCATGTTGTAATGATAGACATTTTCGCTTTTGCTTACAACATATTTGAGAGGTTGTAAGAGGTTGAGTTGTGCTTTAATAAGGGCAGTTTATTTATAGTTGTTTCTTATATATTTAGTTAATGGTCTAGTCTGGTCTATAAAGGTCAAGAAAAATAGACAACTGCTCAGTATCATTTTTGAAAGTTAGGTGTCCCACAAAGAAATACAAAAATAATCAGTTTATTATTAATCAAGACAAACAGCAAGCAGCAGTAGCAACATGTACAATTAAGAAGCTGGAAATATTGCTTTAAAATCTAAATAGTTGTCAACAAATGTTGCGTTGATCAACTTATTCATGAATCAAATGCAGCTCTAGTTTCTGTTGATATTTAGTCCACCATTATTGTTGTCGAGTAAACGCAGACACATTAGTTTTTAGAGAAAAACAGTTTAAAGACAGGAAGAGGATGCACATGACAACTTGGTCACATTGGAAACAGCTGTGCCTCCTCTTTGTCTGTGTGTATAATTCACTGCACCTGGGAGATATTCATATTAAACCGGAGCAAAGACAGGAACAGAGATTATGTGTGTGTGTGGAGGGGGGCTCCTCTGGTGCTCAGGGTCAGGAAGGTCAAATTCCTGTGAGTGTGGGGGTCTGTGGAGAGGCAGGGGGTTGTCATCACAGGGGAGGGGATGGAGAGGTCGGACACTCGTGGGTGCTTTCTGCTACTCTTATTAGCTCTAGGTGGGGCAGGAACTCACTGTAAACATTTCCCAGAAACACAGGAAATCCAAACAAAACATGTCCACCAGCCTGACTCTCCGTTTATCGCTTTTATCTTGAATGGATGTCTCCTTCTACTTTGAGCATGTCTACATATATCCAGGACTGAGAGTTGTTTTAATCATGTTTAATAAGTAATGTTATGTCTATGAAATCATGGGAAAAGGTGGAAAAGTGAATGTCTTTGGATGTTTGTCTGATTAACAGTTCCAATCTTGTAGATATTCTGCTTACAATCCCCAGATTCAGATGTTATCAGGTAATTGAATGCCTGTTATCAGTTGTTTTCACTCCCTCTCTTCAGATGGGGCGACCTGCACCCTCTATAAGGCCAGAAGATGCCTATCCAATGTCATAAAATGGTGGCAGTTATGTTAAGTTTTACTTTAAGTTACATTAGTTTTAGCCGTCAAAGCTATATGTTTCTTAACTTTGCTTATGTCCGTTTAAATTACATAAGGATTGACTTCTGGTTTCAGACCGGACACAAACTCCAGTTTCCTGGGTTTAAGTCCTGCCTTCTTTTATTTATATTGGTGAGCCTCCATGTTCTTATAACGTACTTGTACCATATATTTGGGTAACCTCGGATGACAGCCATTTAATGGACTGATAGTCGTACGCCGGTTACACAAATAGATATAGTTACATAAAAGGCATTTAATCATTGTTATGACAATAAACCTTTGAATCTTGAATCATGACATTAGGAATCATGACATTAGGAATGATTGAACCAAAACATTTTTTAATTTCTGCTTGAAAATGACTAATGAAACTAACCAAAGTTCATGGTTGTTATTTTAAAGTATTCATTCTTCATGAACTAAAACCCCAATAAATCAAGTGATTTTGATGACATCTTGAGACTGGCCAGATGAGCATCATCAGGTTTCCTCTCCCCCTGATAACAACTACATGTTATCTTTAGTATGATGATGGTGGTGATGGAGCAAGAGGGGTTTACAGGCTAAAAGAACAAGGAGGGGTGACCAAACTCTTAAATTCCTCCCACGGGAGAGCTCTGGTCTTCCCTTTGTTTCTTTTTTTCATGGACCAGTCCATTGTTAGGGCTTTGCTGAAAATCCCCCCCTTTCTGGCCCACTTGAGGAGTTTAGGAGGGGGAGGAGGTCAGAGACTCCCGGCCAATGGGAGTATCCGTCCTCCTCCAGCTGGCTGTGAACAGACCAATTAACTTCGAGAGATTTGAACCAAACCGTTACTCAGAGCGTTCCATCAGTCTGAGGTGAGAGGAGGTTTGAGTCTCAAACTGTTAACTATTGTTTGCATGAAGTTTGCATCAGGTGTGACTCACTGTAGGTTAATGAGCAGGTAACAGACCGTCTCCTCCTCCACCTGCATACTGACTAAGGACCTAATTTCAACATTAGACTCCCCTTTTGAACAGTGTGTGGTCATGAAAACACTCCAGGTCATAGCTCTGCTGCCGTTTCCTGAACACAGTCAGACCTTTCCTCTCCAGAGCTGTCACATTTCCTGCTCTTACTGCGTTGCACATTCCTTCACATTGACTCATTAGACCAACAAAAAACCCCTGATAAGACTCGATATAGTCTCCATGTTTGATTATGGATTTTAATATATTTTCATAGGACTGTTCTGCCCACAGGTGCCCTTTTAGTCTTCTTTAGACCTGGTGTGCACTTTAGGGTCACAAATTGAACTTTTATAGAGCCGCAGATAAAGTGTATTTTCATGTTTTGATTAATCTACCAATCATAGACTTGATATTGGTTAATTGGGTTGTTTATAACATCTCAGAAAACTGTGAAAAATCCCTGTTTTACATTCCAAAACCCTAAAAGGATTATTAATTTATAATAACTTTACTTAATTAACAATATTATATTCAAATCATCATCAGCATTTTACTATTATAAGAAAAACATGATTATATATAAGAAAAGCACCGGATCACCACATTTGAGAGGCAAAGACCAGGGCATGGATGACATTTTGCTTGATATTTGACTAAAGCTACATCATTATCAGACATTTGCTAATTATTCTTCTGTCGTCCATCTAATAATCAACTTATCCTTGTAGCTCTTGGTATATTGCTATTTTAAAGTACAGCTTTATCATTAAACAGTGTGCTTTAAAATGTACAATCATGGTTTTACATCGTTTTTTGTAATGGCATAGTTTACACATAGGCTTGTAACAGCAAACCATAAGCCCCTAGGGAATATCATTTACACATTTGAGGGTATAAAGTAAACTATAAAGTAATAACAGCTATATTTAACACCATTACCAGACACTACACATCCCAAGGGGATTATAAGGGCTGATACATAAACCCCCTCACATGTTATTAAACCGTTAGAAATGCTGCAAAACATGTTTATAATGTTGCATTAGTCAAATTGAATAACAGAAATGGGATATAAAGCATGAAAAAGCCATTTTACTGAGTCCAATGGGTGCCTGGGATAAGTAACAGCCTTGCTTTAGGATCAACCTGTTGCTCGGTCGTCGTAGTGAAAACACATTTTTAGAGAAGAATACATATCAAAGTGAAGGAAATTAGACTTACCCAAGGCTCCCAGTAAAAAAGCAAGCCGGTAAAAGTTCATTATACAGTCCGTGTTATAGTAAAGTGCAGTTTATCCGCATGTTGGTGATTCAGGTTGTCCGCTAACTGCAGCAGTAAACAGGACTCACGGACTGAGACTAACGGGACTGTACCACTTCATGCAGAGGTGAGTCCAAACACTAAACTCATCCAAAATACTGACTACTCCTCTGCTTGTCTTTTATACACCACATATGTAAACTATATTGTTTCTTAAGTTTATATTTATTATGGAATCTAATTTTTGTTTTCTCCACCGGGTGTAGCCCGTAGCCGTAGTGCCTACCGGCCTACAGGGTGAGGTCTGCCCGGTGTGGAGGTGGAGGAAGGAGGGGTGGCAGCTCCATGAGTAAATCAGGTCAGACTTTGCTGTGAGGTTTCAGGAATTTTACTGCACAAAAAAAACCGAAACATTTGACCCACTTTCTTTATTAAACTTCATTTGATTTATCTTCATGAGAAAAAAAATGTTTTACATCCAACATTTACACATAAAAGCATAACAACAAAAAAGGTAAAACACAAATTGTCGCTTGAAGTGAAATTAATTTCAATAAACTCACAATAAAAAAATGCAATACAATAAACTGCAGGCTATAAAGACGTTTTTCACACATATGTATCCGTGCAACTGAGGCACTAAATCAGCCAGTTTTTAATCATACATTACAGGTTAATCAGACTAAATAATGTACACACTCTAATTGGCAGCCTGAAACAATTACTAACAACATTACTGAAGAGGATAAGTGGCCTGAATATTTTAACTTTTATTGTATTCATGATTGGGGGTAGTTTAATTAACAATTTACATTCATTGAGATTTTGGCACTTGGCCAGTTTTTATAAAAAAAACAAACAAACAATATCAATGCTAAAAAGGATTTTGGTATACAATTTATCAAAGGCCCATTAAATGGTAGATAATCAATTTTTTTTTAACATTGTGTCGTTAATAGTTCCTGATTAGGAGTACATGAAAATTGTTTTTCATCATCTCAAATATGGCAAATTTACTGTGAGTTAAAAATGTTGCCACCTTGGGAGCTTTAGGTAAACACAGCAACAACACTTATACTCCACCGTATATGTATAACCACTTTACTGTCACTGTGTAATGGATGCCATGCATGGTTGCACAACCTAAAGACTTAAACATTTATTTTAAACAGGAATGCATGGTTTTCTTTTGTTGGGGACTCTGTTATAAGTAATACTATACTATTTAAGTAAATACTACAACTTCTCTGTAAGTCTGTGACGTCATTGGGACCGAAAATACATTTTACCATCGACTTTCATTGGAAAAGAGGCGTCTTTGAATCAACGGATATTTTATTTTTTTAGCTAAATCATCTATCCAATACGATATAGAGTTATTTCACCTTATATTGACTGAGCCAAGACCGTCCGCGACGCTGTGGATTGGAGGCAGGGTTTAGGGAAAACACTATGGCCACAGATCCGGTATTTTTGTTCTAGAGTTTGGCCATTTTGGTTTCATTCGCATTTCTCATATGAACAATGCCCCCAATCAACCATCCATCCATCCATCCATCCATCCACATCTCTTTTGTTTCCATATTTCTTGTAAAATCAAAGCCTTATTTTAGGGACAAGCCATTATTTGAATGTGGACTTTTACTTTGAGTACAAACTTCACAAACCTTTATGGTTTTTGCAAGAATGCAATGTAGCTGTGTCTTTATGACGAGACCAAGCACTAAGCCAATCAATTCACCCAATAAAAGAGTGCATCAACCAAAACATTTTTTTTAGTGCATTAAAAGACTATTCAGTAACACATTGTTATTAATACCGGTTTCTGTTTTGGTCATCGGTGTAATCAAGGCGATCGCGGCTTCCACCATGACGATCGTATCGGTCATCAAGACGATCACGACTGCCTCCGTGACGATCGCGATTTTCATCAAGGCGATCCCTACTACCGACGGAACGATCCCGATTTTCGTCAAGTCGGTCCTGACTGCCTCTGTAACGATCGCGATTTTCATCAAGGCGATCCCTACTACCGACGGAACGATCGCGATTTTCATCAAGACGATCCCGACTTCCACCAGAACGATCCCGTTGATCATCAAGGCGATCCCGACTTCCACCAGAACGATCACGTTGATCACCAGAACGATCACGCCTGTCGTCTTGCCGATCAACGCTTCCACTGTAATGACTACTACGTTCATCTTCAAGACGATCAGGACGGCCATCGTAACGATTACGCTCATCATCAAGGCGATCTCGACTTCCAAGATGGCGATCCTGCTGGTCTTCCTGGTAACGCTGAGAGTCGACATCACTTCCCTTGCCCGCATGCTTTTCTTGACTGCTATAATAACTCTGTTGATCCTCCTCTAACTTGTTTGCGCTGTAGGAGCTCTCAGGAAGGTTTTTGTCTTCGTGCTGCTTGACCTGCTTTATGTCACCCTTTGACTTGTCGTCCCAGTACTGCTCTCCAGCTTCGGCAGCGTCTTTGTCATAATATGCCGCTTCTCCAGGGGAACTAACAGACAAACAGAAACAGAATACACAAAATAAATGGTAAAGCTAGGTAGAATAATCTAATCGAAGCATCCTTAAAGATCACTTGTGCTACATTTGGACTAAACTGTACTTCATGGCTATTCCCAACTCAGCTCAGTTGGTTTTCCATTAGCCAAAGTTGTGGATAGTACCCAAGCCTCCTGAAAGAGCGCAGACCGTTGAATCAAATTGTTGTAATGGCCAAACGGTGGTACTACACCCCGTTATAGTCCGTGGTGTAACTTTGACTTACATTGGGAAGATACAATACGTCGTAAATCAGCTGAAAAGGCTGAGCTAAATAAACTACCCAGATTTCGATAAAACCTTGATTGAGGTTCCAAGTTAAAAAGCAGATAGTTGATGGTGGAGTTAAATCACTACAGACAACTGATAAGTCAGGGAACCCTTGGCAACCCATTGTCACAAAGCCGCACTTTTCAAAAAGCCAAAGATACCATCAAAAGCAACTGCACACAATGCAGTACAGTGATTTGACAAAGTGCACTAAAGATGCCCAACAATTTGACGCAGCTTTAGCTATCAGAAAATACTCTCTCCTCAACTCAAGGGGTTCATATCCATTGTGGAAAAAACGAAATAAAGAAGTACTGCTCCACACAGAGGGTGTTTCTCAATCGCGAGTACGCTTGCTTGGTAGCACATGTCTGCCGAGCATCTTGCTTCAGAAGCGAGTCAAGAATACTTCCTGACATTTGGAAAACAAAAAGTGGAACAGGCTAGCAAGTGTGCAGGTGTGCGTCATATGAGAGGCCTCGCCTTACATTTTCCGCCACAGATTTTGGAAATTGGTCCGTGCGCAAAGCATTGTGGGGATTTTAAGACCCTGGAGTCTACTCATGTGCAGCCTCGATATTTCTCCAAACGGAGTACGCCGGGCTCGGTAGATTTCCAAGTATACTGGAGATTGGAACAGTACTTCGGCGGCACTCGATGACGTAGTATGCTTGAAATAGTGGCTCTGAAGCAGCTTTACTCGCGATTGAGAAACACCCCGAGTATTGCCTTCAGTCAAGCGGAACCATGCAGTAGAAATTAGGAATTTTTTATAGATACTAAGAAAACACGAACATAAATGTGTGATTTACAGCGGCAGAAAAACACTGTATTTATCAAACTTACCCTTCAGCGTACTCTTCCTTTTTGCCCTTTTTCTTGTAGCAACAATAGGCGACAATTCCCAGCAACACAACGCCTGCGAGGACTCCTACAATTATACCTGCAGTGGACCCAACGTTCATGCTGCCTGAAGAGAAAGAAGGAAAGAAAAGAGGTGTTCACACTACTTAGTCTGGATAAGATCAGAGGGAAAATCTTTGTAAAACACTTACCAGGCGTCACAGTCATAGTCAAGTTGCAGGAGGAAGAACCAACTCGATTTGTTGATGTGCAAATGAAGAAACCAGACGTGTCTATTGAAATATTGTAGAGAGACAGAACTCCAGCCTCTGCAAAAATAATGACAAAAATAAGGCTTAACAATGTTGATTTGATCAGAATCAAAATCTGAATCAGAATTATTTACCCACAGTTGCAATGGGATTTTCTAATAGTTGTTCCATTCTTTTTTTTTTTTAAAGAAAAGAAAATTAAGATAAAAAAATAAAGAAAAGAAAAAAGAAAAAGATTGTAAATGTAATAAAGTAAAAACTAAATTATATAAATATATTTATAAAACATAGAGAAGTTAATCTTCAAACGGTCACAGTCTACAATATAAACCAACAATGTAAAAACATGTATATTACAATATAAAGGTATAAATAGTAATGATATTAAAGCCTGAATACCAGGTTATTGCTCAAAATGTACATTATAATACAAAAATAATGCCTAAGCAGTGTAAGCAGAGTATTGCGGTGGACCCTCCAGCAGCCATGTCAAAAATATTTGCTTTCAAAATAACACATGGATAGTAAATTGCATACTTTCTGTCGTCTTAGCTGGAAATGGTCTGGCAATGCTTTTGACACTGAAGCTTTTCCACTCGTATGCAGGTTGTGGTGATCCGTTCTCAGACATGCAGGTGAGGCTGATGTTGTTAAAGTACGATGCTTCTCCCTGAATCTTACAGATCGGTGGAGACGGAGGGACTGGACGAAAAACACAGAATTGAACATAAAAACTTCATGATGCAGAACTTTGTAAGCAGAATTGATTTAAATGTCCCCTATTATACTGTTTTTCATCAATATATTATAGGTCTAAGATATATACAAAACATGTATCTGAAGTGTTTGGCTCCAAACAACAAACAGATCATTGCAGCATCCCATAATCCCCTCTGTTTCAGCCCTGTTTCAAAAGTGCTGATTCTCTGTCTGTTACTTTAGATGAAAATAAGGAGCCACTCCCCACGCCCCTCTGAGAGATATTTGGTTAAAAAGAACACAATGGTGCTCTAGGAGGAGATTCAGGTGATAAGGGGGGGGGTTACCTTGGTTGTTGATTGGAATGGTTACACAAGCCAAAAAAATCGTTATTACATCATAAAGTGGCCAAAATCTGATCAGCTCATTTTCAGACAGGTTTTTATATAAATGGATCAGGACAAAAAGAGAGAGAGAATCTTTTTTTCCTGAAACTTTCAGAATCTCTTTACACAGAGGGGACACATGTTTATGTATAAAAGACATGAAAAAGTGGATTTTCCTCAATAGGTGACCTTTAAATCATGTCAGATTAATTCTCACCCAGGACCAAAAGGGAAGTGGTGGCAGCGGTTACTCCCTCGTCAT